GTGGGGTGGCATTTTTAATATTGCAATTGACAACTATTATCAAATTTGACAACTACCGACGACACTGATGCAAAGCCCATATTACACGATTAAATTTTGCCGTTCACATTTCGGGGACGCCAATTGTACACCCACGAGCCGCCACTGACTTACACCACTACATCTCATATCACATTAACTGAAGTGAGCTGAGATCTCAGGCGAAAAGAACGCACCTATTGATAAACATTATAAATTCCCTACTTAACAACATGTATACTAATATATTAGTATTCACGTTGTTGCCTATAGGCATAAGTGATTGGCCGATTTCAATATTCACTGTGAATTGAATCAATCAGGTTTTAAATTGGAAGAAGGCGACTATAATTACATTTAAAATAGGTAAAAAGTAAGGTTAACCATTTGACAGATGTTAGATTATTTATTTAATTTTTAAAATCATTTAATTACATATCCTACTTATAGTCCGGTCAAATTAGACCAAAAAATAACAGTGAAGGTACATAAATTTACAACAAGCTGAAAATCAGTAAAATTGTTCAGAATATAATTATAAATAAAATTTTAAAGTTCCCCATCATTCCCCTGTATGGAAAATTTTTTATTCAAGGTCAAAGGTCAAAAAAATTAGTTTTTAAGTTTTATCATAAAAATACCCTAAACAAAATTGTAGATCATAAAATTATCTATAAAATATGTATTAATACTTTTTTTCCTACGAGCTACCGTTTCTGAGATATAACGATTCGAAAAGTTGTAAAAGTTGTAATCGTCATAATATGCACGCCACGTATCTCTAGAGTTGTAATATATGTTAAAATATTTTTCTATAGGTCATTTTAACTTACACTTAAAATCTGTCACCTGTCATCTGTCATTTGTCATCTGTCACCTGTCATCTGTCACCTGTCATTTGTCCCTGTCATATGCCACCTTATCGATTTGATTTCGAGGATTGGTTAACTTTTTTAAATACCCAACCAAAATTAAACGGGCTTCTGGCCGATTAGTTTTTATTCGATGAAGCTCATCTTTTAGTATGTCAAACTTCGGTCTTTTTCCCGTCGATTCGTGTATTTCGTTCGGCCAATTTCGAAAATTTCTCTCGACCTAAAAAACGTTTAAAAATTTTTCGAAAAAAATAAAAAAAGAACGCTGTTCGAAAAGTTGCCGGCGTATCCGGCCCGTTTGCCATATTTATTTTTTCCGTTGTCTGTATATCCTTTTTTTCTAAGCGCCGTAGCTCGGAGGCCGTTGAAGGTTGAAATTTGCATCCTTTTTTTCTGCCCACGAGACCTATCCGCGGACCAAATTTTTCCGGTGTCGAAAAGGTCCAAGTCCACTTTTTTTCAATTTTTCCGTCAAATTTTGCACGTTCGCTTAACTTTCGAACGAGCCGAGATTTTTCGTCCAAACTCGAGGAAAAGGGTCTTCGGGACAAGAAGTTATCGGCATTCGATTTCTTCTTTCTATATACGGAGCTCCTAAAAAAACTACCTGCTTTGATAAGTATCGATATGCATGTTTCGTTAAAAATTCTAAAAGTAAAAAACAAGTTCAATTAGCTTGTCTTCCTCCAACCTCAATTGCTGCTCATCAACATCTTTTTCGGGTATATTACCATGTTCAAGTGTGGTTTGGTTATCAGCTAGACCCTACAGACTAGGGTTGGAAGTTGGTCAACAACACATTAGAACCAATTCAAACTTTACTCCCACCTGCGCCGGAAAAACTGCTGAACACAATTTTTTGCAACTGCAAAAAGGGATGCAGTGCTAAATGTGGTTGCAAAAAAGTCGGACTGTTTTATTCTCTGGCATGTACGAATTGTCAAGGCCGGTCGTGCTCTAATGTTGAATCACCAACAGTGGAGGATTCATTTAATTCCAACGAGGTGAGATGCGATACATCGCTATTGACGCAATTTACTTGAACCCAGGATGAAGATGAAGAAGAAGAAGATCAAGAAGAACAAGAAAAAGAATTTAAATGTTACGAATCAGACGAATAAACTTCAGTACTTTTTTTAAATTTACATCGCTATTATCTTTTCCAATCATTGCTAATTTCCGTTATTTTGCAATAGTTTCAAATTAAACAGGATCACAAGTGACCCGTGAAATAGGCCTACTGGGGAAACCACGTTTAAAAACGCGCTTAGTAAACTACCTCATAGGTGGCGTGGAAACGTGTGCATATTATGGCGATTATAACTTTTACAACTTTTCGAATCGTTATATCTCAGAAACGATGGCTCGTAGAAAAAAAGTATTGATACACTTTTTATAGATTATTTTATGGTCTACAATTTTTGTCTGGTGTATTTTTATAATAAAACTTATCGTTTTGCTGAAAATCGCGAAAAATCATTTTTTTGACCTTTGACCTTGAATAAAAAATTTTCCATACAGGGGAATGATGGGGAACTTTAAAATTTTATTAATAATTATATTCTGAACAATTTTACTGATTTTCAGCTTGTTGTAAATTTATGTACCTTCGAATGTCTAGATTGACCGGACTATTATTGAAGTATATAAAGTATGGTATTACACTTGAGATTATGCGCATTATTCACTCGGATGATTTGAGTCTCTCGTCTAACGACTCAAGATAAAAAACCCCATCTTCGTGAATAATAGCCCGCATTGTCTCTTGTATAATAATACTGAAAGTTTATAAATCGCACTTTTAAACTCTTAACTAGTATAGGGTAGAGACCATGATAGACCTTGTATATTTTTGACAAAAAACGTAAAAAAAATATAGGGACCCTAGCATAGGGAATTAAATAGGGAAATTCATAATAGCAATAGGGAATTATAGGGAATTTTTACATCACTGGATAGGGATTTATTTTTTACCCATCTGGCAACACTGGTGGGAGGTGGAGTCTCGAAATTTTTGTAGCATGCATATAGTTTACCCTTGCCCCCCATAAACAAAATCCTGGCTACACCCTTTCTAAAAATGGGGCAAGAATCTCTGATTTTCTAAAAGATTAAATTAAACCCAATGAAAAAAATTCGGCATGCCTTATACACTTTGTTTTTTAAATAATTTATATTGAAAAATATAGGTACACAAATTTTAGAAACTTACTTTTATAAATCAAATTTTAAAATTTAATTGTTGCAGTTCTGGTCCAGATTTTTTTACCCTGTGTATTTTATTTTAAAAATAAAACTATTGTTTCAGAGCATATTTTTAAGTACCTATTTGTCAAATAAATATTACAAATGATAAAAAAAAATTGAACCAAAAATAAAAAAGCTTTCTAGCAAAAACATTTGCCACATTTTACATGGTGTATTTTTAACTTTCCTATAAAATTCCTTTTAAACTTGTATTATTGGCAAAAAAATTGTTAATACATATTATAATATGTATATTTAATTTGAAACACCCATGTTGCCCTTTTGTCCCTCCATTTCATTTTCTTCTATGTTTAATAGTATACAGGGTGTCCGGGAAAAGGAGGTCAATCCGTTAACCATATATTCCTTGAGTTAAAACAATAAGACTTTCATAATACCATTTTTCAATTTAGAGCTTCATGTTCGATATACAGGGCGACAAAGTTTGAAATTTAAAACTGATTTTTTTTAATAATTCGAGTAGGTAATTGATAAGATATTAAGTTTAAATTCGGTACACTTCAACATAAATAGTTACATTTTTGGAGACCAACAAAACAAAAAACAATTTTCAAATAATCAAAATAGGGGGGTCCAGTACTCACTGACTCCCCCTATTTTTTAGTACGAGCGCCAATGACTTCCAACAAATATTTTTTTGGTTTTATTTTATAATCTTTAAATAATAATTTTTTTAGGTAAGTATTATAGATATTAAAAAGTAAACATTTATGTTTTTTTAATTTAAAAAAATAAACTAATAAATATTAGGGGTAATTATTTTACAATGAAACCAAAGAAAGTTATAAATCAATTGATTTCAAGTATTCAGCTTTTCAATCAGACAAAAAAACAGCAAATATGTTTGATATAATTACAATGGTAGTAAATTTATCTTTAAAAAATGTTATTTTTTAATTATATCTTTGTTATAGGTATGTTTACCTTCTGAATTTATTTTTTAGGTATATAAATTTACAAACAAAAATACTGTCAATTTTTATTCATATTTTTAATCAGTCATTATGCTAAATCATGATGCAATAATATAAATAAATCAACGTTTCTGCATGAGGCCCTAAGATATTTGATATTGAAAATTTAAAATATTATTTTTCAAATTGTAACAAATAATTGGTAGACATTGTAGACATGTCAGTTGAAAGCAATAACCTTGATACATAATCACAAAATGAGAGCAGACAATTTCTACAAAATAATAGGACCACTCAAGTTAGGACCTGAATTGATTTTATTTTTAATAACAAATATCTTAGTAACAACAACTCACATGAAAAGACATTATTTGGCTTTTAGTTTTTTTCTCACAAGCTCTTCATATTAACCTTAAAAAAAAATTTAACAGTGTATCGAGAATATTGTACTGCATGTTAATTAATGCACACAACAATATTGAAACAAGTATCCAGATTTTTGTATAACAAAAAACAAGTAGGTATAGTCAAGTCCATCCATTGACACACTGTATAATGGATCTCTAGCTCACTTAGAACTCAAAAAAACCCTCACAGGGTGAACCTGTATAGTACCTATTACTGTTTATACTCAACAGTATTAAATGATTGCAAAAATTACAAGTAGTTTACTTCTTTAAAGGTAGTTTCCAAAATAGTATAGCTCACTGCATTGACATTATTTTTAAAGAAACTGGTAAATAAACTTTACTATGTAGTCCAGTAAAAAAGGTGCTGACCTTGGGTGCTGAGGCACTGTCTGATTTTTTCTCATGATTCAATAGGGGCTCATTGAAAAGCTTAAAACCAAATTTGCACCACATTTTTTAGTTTTTGGTGAATATCTTGTTCCCACATTAAGAGGAACAATTTATTTTTTACTTACTTTTCTAAGATGTCCATTTCTATGTTTTTTAGCCAGTTTGGAGAGGCCATGCATTTGTTCATTTCCTTGATGTTTTCCTTTTCCAGGAGTACTGGTTGGGGTTTTCCCATCTGCAACTTTATTGGGCCATACTTTTAAATCCAGCATACCCTAATATATGTTTTTTTAAATAACCGTTTCTTTGATAGTTTGTTAACATACCTGCCTAAACAGCCCATATTTACTGAACAATGAAATAGTAGTACCACCAACAATACCCATTTCATTGGGCCCATAGCAATCGTAAATTGTTAAGGCCAACTGTGCAGTTCTGGGTAGATCAAAGAACTTTACAGGAAGAGACAACCATTCGTTCCAGCTAAAATATTTATTTAACTAATAATAAAGAGGTTTCAATTGATAACTTACTTCCAACGTGATGTAAAAGCTTTGTATGATGTGGTTACAGGAAGTGCTAACGGTTGATTTTTATCAAATATTTGACACATTACCATGAGATCTGAACATGTTTCTTGGTATAAACCAGAGAATTTTAGCATTGGATCATCGAGTAACTCTTTGTATCCAGGTTTTTCCCTCTTACCCTCCAAAGTTCCACTACAAATCAAAAACAATGATATTATTAGGAAAATATGTGACCAACTACTTACATTTTTATTTGAACTTTGTTGGGAATTGAAGAACTGTAAATATAATGTAATTTGTCGCTAAAGTCATCCATTATTACTTCTTTTTAGATCATGTTTTTATTATGACAGCTGTCTGACATTTTTAAATGAATTCTTCATTATGAAGGTTATTTCTCCTTTGTTTGCAAATATTTAATTTTTATAGTTTTAATATTATGGAATAGCTTTGTTATATTTTATATTTTTATTGCATGTTTTATGTTTTTATTTTATTGTATTTTGTAGGTTAGGAAAATGAAAATGAAAATCATTAATTAAAAGATTACCTTCCTTCCTTCCTCCCGTAAAAGATTAACTACACGAAATCCGTAGATTCCGGTACGGAAATCTATAAACGGCACTACGATTTTCGTATTGTTCTTCTTTTACGCGAGGAAGGAAGGAAGGAAGGCAATCTATAAATCAGGCTTTTACCTGGCAACGCTGCGTTAAAATTTCTATTTTAATTTAAGTTTTATCCATAAAAGCCAAAAGAAAAGTAAATCACAAATTTAAATAAAAAGAATAATATTTTATTTAAAAAGTTTTAAAAATATTGCCCATTAAATCAATAGTTTTGCTTGACGCTATGCGCATGGCAAGTCGGCATTGGCAACAATGTTTTAATGACGCTCTGAGAGGACGCTTCGCCATTTTGTTTCACTCTTTGTAATTTGTTCGGTGGTGTTGTCTTGATATATTATTGAATGTAAGTAAAATTGTTGGCATTTATAACTATTTAATTTAAGTTGTTATCATGCGTTTTATTGAATTTCAGAATGGGTGACGACAAAGATCGTTCAAGGGAACGTTCGAGGAGAGACAGGCCAACTCGGTTCTCGGAGGCAAGCCGGGACCGCAGCCTTGATCGGGGCAGGGACAGGGGTAGCATGAAATCATCGAATAACCGAGTGTATGTATCAAATATCCCTTATGAATATCGTTGGCAGGATATGAAAGATTTGTTTCGAAGTGAAGTTGGGGACGTACAGTTTGTCGAATTGTTCGTCGACGATAACGACAAGCCGAAAGGTTGCGGAATCGTTGAGTTTAGCGAGTCTTCTTCTGTTAAAAAATGCATGGAGGTTATGCAGCGTTTTGAGGTGAAAGGCCGTAAGTTGGTCATAAGGGAAGACAGCGGTAATAAGAGAGATAAACATGGCAACATTATGGGGCCGCGTGGCGGCGGAGGCGGCGGTGGTCGAGATGAAGGTCGTTATCGTGATGATCGAGATCGTTTTGATAATCATGGGGGCTCTATGAGGCAAGACGATGGCAAATGGGGCAATACTTTTGGTCTGAGTATACAGTTTCTCGAGTCCTTGAATATTGATCCTCCTCTTTCCAACAGGGTCTTTGTTGCCAATGTAAGTATTTTATTTTTAGTAGATTTCTTTGTTGGACCTGCAATTGTTTGCCTCAAGTATATGAAACTAATGGAGTGGGTTATTATTTAGTATTATACCTTTGGTTTTTGTTGACATGGGTTTATTTAGTATTATACTTTTGGTTTTTGTTGACATGGGTTTATGTTGGCAGCTATGTTGGTTCTGACTGCATTAATTTTATGATACAAGAGGCTTTTTGTTTGGCATAGATAATGTGATAATATAGCATAACCATATTAGACACAATTGTTAGGAAAAATTCTTTGTTAACTTCAAAACAACTGTGGGTAAAGGAAATATTTGGAGCCACTTGTGGAATTTATTATCTTTTAATTTTAATTAAATGGAATTTGTGTATATTGTAGGGGATTACAGAAATTACCTTTAAAATTTTAATATTGTTGGCCACAAAGTAAGAATTTAAATTATCTAAAACCTATAATTATGTGGTAGTTTTTAAAACTTTTTTGAATTCCATACAATGGTGCTATTCCACTTAATTTTGATATTAAAAATTATGTGGTTTTACCACAGACCTGTGGGTTTTACTCATTTTGTAAAGTTGACTGATTTTGTGCCTTTTTTTAAAATTTGAATAATTTGGCTTAAGGCGACATCCATTAATTACATAAGATAAAAATAGGTGGGAGGGGTCTACCAAAATTTCACCAAATCTCATGTTAAGGGAGGGGGGTCATTTAAAATCTCACGTCAACTTTTAGGTTAAAAGAATAGAAGTATTATAATTCAAATTTGTCAAAAAAAGTAATCATTTTTTTTTGGGTTTATCATGTTGTCTGCAGTGAAAGTTTAATGCCAAGAATATCACGTGAAGGATAGGGGGGGGGGGGTCTACCACATCTCACCAAGGGGGGGTCCAAATTATCAGAAAAATGCCTCACGTAATTAATGGAGGTGCCCTAAGCCCTATGCGTCAAAGTCGACTTGATAATGGCTTAAAAAAAATATGTTTAAATAATTTTACAAAAATTCCCGGAAAAACTCGATTACGACAATTTTAATTTTATTAATCTTGGAACTGTAGTTCATACAAGTTTTTTTAATTATTTAAATGTGTGGCTTTGATTTTGACCCTAAAAGTGTTATAAAAATAAAAATCGGCAATGTTGCTTAAAAACAGGAGGTTAAAAAATTTATATACAGTTTGTTTAATAAATTGTAAAATATGAGATACGCCTTTACATAATATCGATGACTTTTTGCCAAAGTATCGCAAGTAACATAACCCAAATTTCGGAAATTGAAAACATTTTACTTGTCTGTTTTAAATTAAATATAGCCTAAGGGTTTTATAATAAGTAATTACTTAGCTTATAATTATAGCTATTTACTTGTTATAAAACCTGTAGGTTATATTTGGTTTAAAACAGACTTTAAAACAAAAATGTTTTCAATTCCCGACATTTGAGTTATTTTGCTTGCGATACTACAGAAAGTCATCGATATGTGATAATTGGGGCGATATGTCCTAAAATGCTTTCTTACAGAGATACAGGGTTTTAGCTTTAATTTTAATCATTTATGATTTATCATGTAAGTTTCTAGATATTTGGTATTTACTTTATTTCTGGCTTACAGGTTGATATGTGAATTTTTTTAGATAGTCAATGATAAAGGATATAAATCCATAAGTATCCTATTATGTATGGATATCTTTTTTTATTCAAGGGCTACAAGGTTGGTTAAATTGGACAAAAGTTAAAAGCCTATTAAAATGACAGTTAAAGTTAAAAATTAAAAAAAAATCTGCGGTTCTCAAATAATTTGAAGAAAACTGAAAACCTCCAAAAACCAAATAACGTTAAACTTCGTTATTTCTGGGAATTTTGAAAAAAAAGTAACTCTCACATTTATCCGCATCCAGTTTGTGATTTTTTTTTACCTACTAAATTTTGATATACCCCCCTCTTTTGTTTTTCCTATGACCGCCATAAAGGAATTTTACATGGTTAGGTAGAAAAAAAATCAAGGAATCCAATGATGTATTAAACTACATAAGTTATGCTGGCCATTATAAAAACAAAAGATGGTGTTAAAACATAGTATCGAAGAAATTTGATAAAAATGTAGATTAATGTGTATGTTTCCATGTAAAAGTTAAAATTCCCAGCAATAACAAAGTTTTGACAATTTTTGTTATTGAAAGGTTTTTAAGTTTTTTTTAATATTTTGAGAACCTCTGGCCTTTTTTGCAATTTATAAATGTCTAATGCAATGATCAATGATTTTTCTGAAAAAATACGTCAATTGTTGAATTATCATAATTTATGTAAGTTTCAGTGTTTCAGTGGAAATTTGGAGTCGTATTCGAATTTGTAATTTTTATATTGAAAAAATTATGTGGACATTAAGTTTTTAAAATAAAATGTATAAAATAAGCACGAAATATAATAAATAATCATTTATGAAATCAAAATATCCAATATATGTACAGGGTGAACACAGATATAATTAACTATACTTGTAAAAATATTTATATTCAATTCTTCTTCCTCATAATTTCTTTTGCTTGTTATATAAATACGATTCGCGTTGAGAAACATCCATTTTGTTGTAAAGGGTGAGCAAATTAAATTTTTTAAATATTTTCTTTTTGAGGCGCTAATATCAAGAGCTGGTAAGGAGAAATCAAAAAGTCCTATGAAGTTTTTTCATATGAGTTTTTAATACTAAGATATTTGATATTAAAAATTAAGATATTAGTTTTCAAATTTTAACAAATAATTGTAGACATGTCGGTTGAAAGCAGGGTTGAAAAAAAACGCGTGTTTTAAAGTGGGTTTTATTGGGTTTTTAATTCTATACAGATTTTAGTAACTATAAAATGCATAAGTGGAATATATTTTGCCGATTTATAGATCGGCAGGGGAACTTCCGAACTTTAAAATTACGTTTTGTTTGGTCAATGGTTTGATCCTTTCTTAGTTTTAGAGTGTACTGATTTTGATTAAATACTAGTTTTTAACATACATAAAAATAAAAAATATACAAAAATATTGAAGAATTAAAGTTAAAAAACCCACTTTTAAAAAACCCTGCGGGCTTTTTTAAGTGGGTTCTACCCAAAAAAGCCCACTGGGTTTTTTTGGGTTACCCACTGGGCATCCAACCCTGGTTGAAAGCAACAACCTTGAATCATAATTACAAAATGAGATAGCAGTCAATTTCTACAAAATAATAGGACCACTTAAGTTAGGACCTGAATTGATTTTATTTTTAATAACAACTCACATGAAAAAACTTTATTTGGCTTTTTGGTTTCTCCTTACAAGCTCTTCATATTAGACCTTCAAAAAAAAATTAACAATTTAAAATTTTGCAAAATCTATCATTGTATTTTTTTGCGCACCCTGTATAGCAAAATAGAAGTTTTTCATCGTGAATGGTATTTATATAACAAGGAGAATAAATTATGAGGAGTGACTTTTCTTCGAAAAATTGAAAATAAATATTTTTACAAGTATTTAAATATACTATATATCTGTATTTAAATATACTATATATCTGTGGACAAACTGATATGATATTTATATAAATATGTGTCTCAAAATGGGAAAAATGCAAAAATAAGGTCAGTCATCTTTAAGAAATGAGTATTATGATTACATGATTTCTCATACCAAAATTAAGTGAAATGGGGCTATTACATAAAATTTTGGAAATATAACTCGGAACTTTTTGACAAGTGCATTACTTAGGTTTAATACATGATTAATTGAATCAAAATTTGTTTGGATTTAATAAGAATTATCTGCTATATCAATACTTGAGAGGAAACATTTCCATTGTGTACATTTTTGCATTAGGTTGGGAAGTATAATAATGGTTTATTTTAATTTTAATGGTATTATGTTTGTACTCTTTTTGTTATACCGGAGCCTATCTTAAAAAAAATATTGATGTTGATTTTTAAAATTGTTGTTACACAAAGGGAATGGTAAATTAGCTGTTATTGTAGCAGGATTGGTTGTTGTTTTTAAATTTTAATAGCACTGTACACTGTATCTTATTTTGCAGTTGGAATATAACATTGACAAGAAAAAGTTGAAGGATGTATTTAGGTTGGCTGGTAAGGTTCAAAGAGTCGAAATTCCCATCGATAAGGACGGTCGCAGTCGCGGTTTTGCCGTGATCGAGTACGATCACCCGGTCGAGGCGGTGCAAGCCATCTCGATGCTGCATAACCAAGTTTTGTACGACCGTCACATGACGGTGCGCATGGACAGGGCCAACGAGAACGTCAAGTTGCCCGAGGGTCTCAAGTCCATCGGTATGGGGTTGGGCACGAACGGCGAGCCGCTGAAAAATGTGTCGCTGAATTTGCCGTCGCTCTCGGCGCAGAACCAGGTGGCGCAGGTGGGTGCCGGAATCCTGGGCGCCGTGCCCAACTCGGCTCTTCAAGTGGCCAACGCCCTTTCGAATCTTAACAACCCGCTCAGCCAATTCAGCAATCAGGCGTCCGTTCTTCAAGCGGCCAACTTAAGTTCATTGTTAGGTAACGGTCTGTCAAATACAGATTTGTCTTTGGCCAGCAGCCTTGTGTCAAATCCTCTCGTAAATGTAAACAATCAGTCGCAGATGCCGGGCGGCGGCAATGGCGGTAGTAATATGTCCTCGAACAACATTCAACCATTCAGTCGGAACGATAATAATTATCAAAGTAACCAGAATTCAGGTTACGGTCAGAATCCGAATCAGAATTTCCAAAACAGGGGCACTTTTCAATCTAGTTTCGAATCTCAAAAACCAAATCAATTCGGTAATTTTGGTGGTGGTGGCTCAAATGATCGAAACAGTAACTTTACCAATAGTAGTAGTATGATGAGGTCATCGCCGCAAAGCGATTCGAAAGGGGTGGGCAGTGTCTTCAACCGAAAAGTTTTAGTCAGCAACGTAAGTGGCAACCGCTATTAAACTTATTTACCTTGTTTATTTTTAATATTATACTTTTCTAGTTGCCACCGCATTTGAGTTATAACATATTACATGAGAAGTTTAGCGAATTTGGGGACATTCACTTATTTGAAGAGAAAGGTGTTGGCAACATTATTATTGAGTTTGCTTCGCAATGGCAGGCAGAGTCTGCTATCAGTATCCTTTCATTTAAATGTACATTTTTGATTAATTTCTCTTTTTATTATTTCTGTTGATTAATATTTTCTGTCAAACCTGAATTCTGTTTTTTCGTATCTTCCTTAACTAATCTTTTTAGAAAATCTGCACCGAGCGCGCATTGACGGAAGGACGATTGAAGCAAGGCTATGTTGAGTTGAGTTCAAATCTTAAAAGTATTGATTAGTATATGTTTTTAATTCAAAATTTTGGACTTGGTTTAAGAACCGTGACTAATTTTAGACTCAATGTAATTTTTTGTGACTAAATGTTTATTCCCAATAAAATTTAATTAAGTACTTTTTGAATTTAATTTCTCATAAGCCCAACATTTTACTTGTTAGTTATGCAGTCAATTACATAAATTATTTAATTTAACAATACTATATTGAAATGAATAACCTATGATGTAAGAACATTATATTGTTTTAATACAAATATTTTTTATTTTGAATTATGCATCATTACAAATAAGTATTTTTAAATGTTTTTTCACACTTTAATATTCGATAATATATGAAGGAGTAAGAAGTAAAAGGGTACAAGTGCAAAAAAGAAGGGGAATTATTAACTAAAGTTTTTGCCAAAGGTTTTTGCTATATACAAAAATCTGGAAACTTGTTTCAATGTTTGTATTAATCAACATGCAGAACTCGTACAATTTTTACGTAATGAGAAAAATGCAATTGTACCCTTTTGCTTCTTACCCCTCCGTATGTAATATTTGTATTTTTTTTTAATTATACATATTATATGTATATATATATATGTATATATATTATGAATATTGTGCTTATCTACTACATTTAATTTACTAGCGTATTAAATTGGGTAAAAGATGTTAAATTGGCAAAAGTGATGTTAAAACCGCTTGACCGATGTCATATAAAATGTCAAATAAAATTAACTTTAAATTCTAAAAAAACATTTCTTTTCATTTGTAGTCGTAGATAATGTACGAATTCGTTTTATAAATGCTCGTGTATTAAATGACGTTTTTAGAACTATTTGCATAATATAATATTTTCGTTCGGAGTTAAAAACCTCGTTAAAAACGTACCTACCTACCCTATTAAAAGTAGGGGCACAGTATATGGAAGACAGTAGCGTCACTTGGGCGATTTATGAATGAAATCGTGTCTGCTAATTAAATGGCCTTGAGGGACACGAGAGCCCCTAGATTATGCCAGAGGTATACGCGTCGCAACAGACGTACTTGCTTGCATATTTTTGCAGTCATAAACAAGTTTAAAAATTTATTTTAATGATTTAATTAAGTATTTATGATTTTATTTTTTTGTAATATTATGTAGGTATATATAAATTAAATAATAATAAAATACATTTTAAATAACTTAATAGTTTTGTTTATTAACATTGTTAATTTAACAATTGATTGAAAAACTCAACGATTTAACACTGAATTATAAAAAACATATATTTTTTGTGATTTTTACTGTGGTATTTTTGTGTGTTAATAGTATATTAAAATAAAAAATATTAATTTTGGATAATTTATTTAAATGTACAGTCTTATGCAAATAAAAAGCGTACAGCCTTAGAATGAGAGGTACTGCACTTGTCAAATATGGCGAGTAACTCGCCGCGAGTTAGGTTATAAAAAATACATTACATTTACGGCACTGTATTTTTTATAACCCAACTCGCCATATTTGACAAGTGAAGTACCTCTCATTCTTCAACTGTACTCTTTTTATTTGCATACGATATACAATTATTTATAATTGAATATACCTCCTTAAAACTAATTTACGATTATAAAATATGTAAAAATACTTGTAAATCTTAACGATATAATATATGTATAATGCAGTATATCCTTTATAATTATTTGAATTATTTTTACATAAATTCACAACACAATATATTTTATCTACGCCAGTGAGATAAGAACTTCCTATCCCACTCATGTTGAGTGAGATAATAAGTTCATTATCGCACGCGTTTTTCTTATTACAGCATTACAGCATTATGTTTTATGAAATTCATTGTACGGATCATAGAATAATACGCCCATAAAGATGAAGGCTTACAAACCTTGGATAAACTACTAATAGGTATACTTTTTCTACTCCTATTACGGACATTATATATAATGGTATACCATATTACCAAAAAAAAAGTGATATTTTTATAGAAAAATTATTGCCGAATCGTATAAGAAAAATCGAACAAAATTGATTTTTTTTCATTACAGCTATTACAAATATGAAAAAATGTTTTAGATAAAATCTACCCATTTTTAGTCGAATGATCCGAATCTGCAATAAAATATAGGGTGTTTCATTGGAAATTTTAAAGTTACCCCCTGTTCCCCCTATAATTATAGGTGGAGAGTATGAGGACCAATTTTAGTACTGATTGATTTCCCCCTCGAATCATTTAATTTTCATTTTAAACATTTTTTCGTAAAATGCACAATAAGTGAGATAATTCAAAGTTTCAAGTTAAATGACCCTGTATTATATACTCGATGTTTATGTTTAAGTGCAGAGGATTTCTGTAGGATCTACACATCCAAAAAACAAGAATAACCTGTAGGACACATTCAGGACGTCCGTAAGCTGTCTTTTTTGGGATTTTTGGACCTAAAGGCCATTTACAGGACTTTTTGCACCACTTGGCTTTGTGGGATGTCCTAAGGAGGACCGAGGACGTCCTCGGACCTCCTTATGCTATAGCAGAGCTGTCAAAGATACTTTTAAAAAGTATCTAGATACAATTAAGATAAGTTACTTTTTGAAAAAGTATCCGAAGTTACTTTGGGTATCTAGTTACTCTTTAAAAAAAGGAACTTAAATACTTATCTTAAGTTACTTTTTAAGATACTTAATAAGATACTTTTTTAGTTACTTTGTATATTATGTAATAAGTTTCGTATAAACCGCCCAACAAAAATTCGTTCCAACCCAGAGGCGGATTAAATGTCGAGAGCGCTCTAGGCAAGAACCTCATCGGCGCCCCTCTAGCGGCCATATATTATAAATTTTTACTAGGACTTACATAATAATTAGCTATGCACTGCGGTTTCACCCGCATGATGCCCCATATATGGTATACGGTATACCGTATACGGTATACCGTGGAAATTTCGGTCTCCAGCTCTCTACATACCAAGTTTTATCACAATCGGGTTAGTAGTTTTTGCCCGAAGAAGTAACACACACTTTCGCAGTTATAATATTATTGGGGTAAGTACACGTGTCCTGGCTTATAATTAGGTATAGGCCAAGACACGTTTACTTACCCTTAGGCGTAAATGAAATATGTGATATACATTTCTATAGAATAAACTTATCTTTTACATGTTAATTTTAAGTTTAGGAGTACCAATACAGACGGCCAGTCAAGTAAATGTGCTCTCGAATTCGATCGCTCTTAAGTGTACCTAATAATAAGTTTTAAGGAAACATAAAAATGGCTCATATACAGTGTAGTTTAAGGAAAATAATGGGCGAAGTTAGTGCAAAGATTTACTACTTGGACAACGAAAATCAGTGTACCTGTTGTCCAAAGTCTTAATAGAAACATTAAATTAGTGCATTATAAAGCAACCCCAACAAGTAAATATAGTGAATAAAGACCATACGGACACGAAAGTAATTAAGTGATAAATGACAGCATACCTGAAGATCTAACCCTAGGCCAATATGAATCACCTTTTTAGGGAACAAACTAGCCTAGAGTGAAAGGGGCCATCATCTGCAAAAATCTCTACCAATTAATCGCATGACCTAATACGTAAATTCGCAACAAAAACCTAACAATAATCAATCATTATTACTGAAAACAGCGTAATAGTGTAAATTATTCAATCATTAGGTAAGAACGGCACAAAACATAAATAAGCCCCAACAAAATTAAAATGTTTAAAACTTAAAGAACCAGTTCCGATATTTGCCTAACATAAACCACTAAACACCTCTAAATTTTAGGCATTGCATGCTGCTAGCTGTATAAGAGAATTAAAAAAGCAAAGTTAAGAGCAATTATATAAAATAAATAATATAAATGCAACTTCTAATTGTTAAAAAAAAAGAAAACGTAAATACAATTTCTATCACAAAATAAAGATAAATATCTATCGATAGTTCTCGACCCCTACAATTAGGAAACGTTTTCGCACAGTGGGGCAAACAATTGCTCACAATAGTTTCCGAATTTCAGCAGACTACAAGACCAGAAAAGATAGGTCCTAGCAGCGTACTAACCAACCAAACCTCAATCCCTGGTTGAGGGGGATTCCGAATTGTACTTATTTTGCCTCCTTGTCCCGTACTCCACTAGCCTAAATCGGGCGTATGGCCCGGCGCGGCGAAAAAATTCCGGGAGTGGCCTTAACCATCCACACTGTCATCCACGACCTCCTAGAGGAGATTTACCAACCGGGGTGAAAATGCGGATCCACCAAACACAGGTGATGCTGTTCAGTGGCGGGATAAGTAGGAGAACTGAAAGGGGGTGAAATAACCCTGGGAGATCAGTGCAAGGCGTGCCGATGGGGCCTGCCATACGTTCCTTATATATAATTTTATGTTAATTATTTTCTTCGTTTCAAAACTCACTTGCGCGTGCTGATTAAATAATCAAACCAATAAGTTGTAAATCTTTCTTCAATAAATACCTACTCGGTGTTCATAAAAACTTCGCGCCCCCTTGTAACCTCGCGCCCCTAGGCACGTGCCTAGTTTGCCTTAGGGATAATCCGCCTCTGTTCCAACCCCACCCTGATTTTTCAAATAATTTTAAGCTTACTTTTTTAACAATTTTTTCCATAAAATCTAGTTGATTAAAACCATTGAAGGGTCTAATGCAAAAAGTGTCTAACTTAGGCACTTTTAAAATATCTTAAAAATAAAAAGAGATAAAATCGTTAATTAAAAATTATAAAAATAAAAAAATTATCTCACACTTTTCATTTAATCCTTTTTAATATTTTTTTTTTTTAATTTAAAATGGAAAGCATACATTGAACATTATAGAATGTACGGTACAATGTAACAACCAATATCCTACATCAGTACATCATATGATATATCATATATAAAGAAGCAAGTGCAAGTACTTACCTAACCTAACTTATTTCAGACTTACCACTATAAATTCAAGTCGCAACGAACGGAAACACCCTTCTACAGAGTGGGTGGCGAAGTCACAGATTATAAAAGAAGTATAGGTGAATAAAAATTAAGTAGGTATAACAAAAATCGCCGCCAGTCGATTGGCGCCAGTCGCTGAAGTCGCCAGTATACTTATTATAATAACTTCGATGGCCGCG